GTGATAGTTTATGATATAGAGCCAATGGTACTGAAGGAAGAAGTCCAAGCTGCATTGAGGTCATTGGCAAAGAACAAGGTACCAAGAATTGATGGAATGCAAATGAAAATCTTGTAACAAACTGTTGCAGCACTGGAGGTACGCATTCATTTATGCCAAGAAATTTGAAAGACAGCTAACTGGCCAACTGATTGGAAGAGATCCATACTTGTGTCCATTCAAGGAGAGGTGACCCAGTGGAATGAGGACATTCTTGGAAAATATCATTAATATCACATGCATGTAAAATTTTGCTAAAGATAATTCAAACACGACTGCAATAGTACATTGACAAGGAACTGCTAGAGGTTCAAGCCTGATTCTAATGAGGACATAGAATGAGGAATATCATTGCTGATGCCAGATGGATCTTGGCTGAAAGCAGAGAATACAAGAAAGATGTTGACCTGTACTTTAATGAGTATGCAAAGGCGTTTGACTGTGTAGATCATGACAAGCTGTGAACAACATTTTGGAGAATGAGTATTCAGGAACACTTAATTGTGCTCCTGAGAAACATGTACATAGACCAAGAAGTAGTTGTTTGAACAGAATAAGGCGACATTGAATGGTTGAAATTTAGGAAAGGTGTAAATTAGGATTGTATTATTTTTCTATATGAATTCATCTTACTCTGAGGAAATAATTCAAGAAGCTGGATTATATGAACAAAATGTGGCATCAAAATTGGAGGAAGACTCATTAACAACCTGCAACATGCAGATGATACAACCTTGCTTGCTCAAAGTGAAGAGGACTTAAAATATTTATTGATGAAGATCAAAGACCTCAGCCTTCAGTATGAGTTTCACTGCAATGTAAAGAAAACAAATATCCTCAGTACTAGACCAATAAATTATGATAAATGGAGAAATGACTGAAGTTGTCATTTTGCTTGGCTCCACTACCTACACTCATGGAAATGATAATCAAGAAATGAAATTATGTATTGCATTAGGCAAATCTGCTACTCAAGACCTTTAAAAAGTGTTGAAGAGCCAAGATGTTAGTTTGATGACTAAGGAGTGACTGACTCAAGCTATGGTATTTTCAATAGCCTCACATGCATGTGAAAGTTGGACAGTGAATAAGGAAGACCATAGAAGAATTCATGCATAGTTGTGGTGGTGTTAGAGAAAAATATTAAAACTACCACGGTCTGCTACAAGAACAAACAGATCTGAGTTGGAAGAAATACAGTCAAAATGCTCCTTAGAAGCCTGAATGGTGACACTTTGTCTCTCATGTTATCTGGAGGGACTAATCTCTGGAGAAGGCTATCATGCTTGGTAAAGTGGAGAGTCTGCAAAAAAGAGGAAGACTCCCAATGAGATGAATTGGCAGAGTGGCAGTAGCAATGGGCTCAAGTTTAACAATTGGTGGATGGCGCAGGACTGGGCAGTGTTTCATTCTGTTACAAATGAGTTGTATGAGTAGGAAATGACTTGATGACACCAAACAACTTT